CTAACACAACTGCTTGTCTTGGAGTTTGTTATAAATGGGATCGGATTCTTCGAACAATTATGGAAGGTAAAGACTTGGGTAAATTTATCACCTTTTCTCTCCCTATTTAGACCCTAGATTTGTAGGTAGAGAAATTTAGTTTAAAAAATACGAAAAAAGAAAAAGAAAAAAAAAAGAAAAAGAAAAAAAAAAGAATAAGAAAAAAAAAGAAAAATATATATATTTATAGGTTTTAATTAGGTGGAATCTGAACAGGACTTGTTGGCTACAACCATTAAGGCTTGATTCATAAAGATTCCAACAAATATAATTCGAATGGGACTTGGTGGCTACAACCATTAAGGCTCACTTCATATGACTTCTTGGATATAGGTAAAAAAAGTGATCAGGATTTGGTGGCAACCACCATTAAGGCTTGTTTCATGGAAACATATATAATCTTGGTCAATAATCATGCCTTAGAAGCAGATTTTGACTCAAGAGAGAAAAAATATGAACTAACTTTTACCTGCAGATCCAGATACTTGTTTGAGAATCCTTCCATTTTGTGATCGATACTCCAAAGGTAAAGTCTGCACTTTTATTTTATGTTAAGAAATGAGGTTGATTGAGGTGAATGTCAGATAGTATTTGCTAAGTTGCTGGCTAGATGAATTTGGTTGCTAAGCTAGGATATTGCATAATGAGATTTTGTGATTAGGTCATCTTAGATATGGATTGCAATATTGTAGATGTGATGATTTCAAAGTTTTAAAATCTGTGAGTTCCTGCTGCTTGTTTGTTTTGCTTGAGGACAAACAAAAGGGTAAGTCTGAGAGAGTTGATATACCTTGAATTTTACCCATTATTAACCATGGTATATAAGTGTTTTAAGATTAATTTATTATGTTTTGGAGTCTTTTTAGAGTATTTACAGGTTCATGTATATTTTGGAGAAATATAGTGATTTTTTGGTGTCTTTTGGAGTCTTTTGAGTGCATAAATGCACATATGCGTCAGATGTTTAGCTATGGATGGAGACCTTCCACCGTTAGATTTTGCCCACATTTTGGCACAAGATAGAGAATAGACTTAGCTTTCCAATGCCACCCGTTCGAGGTCAATCAGCATCTTGTATCAGACGTTATGTCCGTTTTACTGAAGAGCGGTCAGTCTGCTTCGCGAGAGGAAGCTGTCGAGAAGATAAAGAAGAATCGATCGATTCAACACTACTGGTGTTGATCGATGGACATCCCAGAACGCGAGCCAAATATATTTCAAGACCGAATTGATCTCAGGAGTTACCACAAATTACCAGAATGCCCTTGGACGACCAGAAACCCTATTTATCTATTTTGTAAGCCATTGTTGACGGCTACGTTCTTTCACTTTGTTCTTATTCTGAGTTTTAGGAGAGAAGGGAGGAACTCCTATCAGAGTCCACCTTGAACTCCTTTGATTCTATTTTTTTCTTTGGTTTTTCATTTTTTATATCTATTCTATTTTATTCATCTATTCTTGCTATGATTCCTGTGACAAACTTCATGCTAGAAAAGATCCACCTGTTAAGTTTAGGGTTCTCATTTGGTTGATCTATGTATTGATTTCATGACTGCTGATAAGATGTTTTAAATTTTTTCTTCAAGCCTAGTTAAGCTTAACATTAGATTTAGGACTAATCACCCTTACATCTAAATCCTAGGATTAAATTGAGTCAAATAGTTATTACTCATTACATGAACCCTAATTAGCTTGATCTAACTAACGAGATTCATACGACAGTTGGTCTAGAGAGTTAGAGAATAATAATAACCTGTTCGTAAAGCTTCCTAGAAGAGTTGTCGATCGTCGCGAGCATCCTCGTATTGATCGATTACTTGAAAGGTGTACTGATCGATTGTCCATAAGAATAATCGATCGACTCTTTTTCGTGATCAAAATACAAACTGTTGAGATCCGAGATCTAGAGAAGGAAACCTGTTTGGTTTCATCATTTATGTTTGAGGTCATGAACAGTTAAAACCTTAAAGTCAAAAATCAATTGCATACTGATACTTGAGATAATTCATAAGTCTAGCAACCATCCTTCCATTAAACTACTTCTTGCCAAGCTGAATAATTGCCTTGTTCATCTTGTTTACTGTTTTATTGCTTGCTATATTTACTACTTATTATTATTTACTATTTTATTATTTACTTGCCTAGATTATTCATAACTGTTTAGATCTAATTGGTTTCCTAGCTTCTCGTGATTTGATCCCTAAGTACTCCAACTGAACCTCTTATTTGAGAGAGTAATTCACTCCTTAGGGTAATTTGAGTGATATCACTAACCTTAGGTCCATAAGCCACGTATAGAAGCGTCATTCTTCAACTCCAGCCTTCACAGTCTTTACCAGTCGCCATTTTGTTTCACATCACTCCATCAACTCGACACAATACACAAGTATTCAAGCAAAGCAACTAGTGTAACACTCAATTCAAGCAATCATATATATTTAATTTGTTTAACAAACATAAAAAAATCAATCAAACCAATTTAACAAATTTAGCCGAGAAAAGAGAATCTAGTTGTATACAAACAAACAAGAAATAACCGAGAAAATTATCTTATTTAGCTAACAATCTGGAAAATATATATAATACTACAAGATGTCTAATAACCGAGATAAAAAAAATTTGTAACTAACAATATCAAACATCACCGAACCAGTAATATACATTCATGTCCCAAAAAAAATGGTGAAGTGCCTTCTGAGTTCTGATCTTGTGGTCCAAAATAGCTAACAACCTGAAAAATAAAGTAACTTATGACGATTAGTTTGAAATCAAGTTACTGATTCAATAAACTATCAAAATCTAATTGATAAGCTAAAACTTCGAGATACACTACAAAAATCAAATCATGGAATGGATCTACTTAAGTCTTAAGGTAATATCTGATTTTTTTTTTTGCATGCATGTAGAACCAGGAGGAAGAGAAGCGAATCATACCTTCGGAGGAGGTCGCATGTCATCGGCGAGTCGAGTCATCACCGGAGCTCCTGAAGTCAACACCCATCGTGAAGCTCTCAGCTGGTGGAGGCGGTTCAGCTTTTAGTTCTACGCGTTAAGCTTCTATGGTGGAGAGAAGAAGATGAACCACCACCACGGGCTGGGATCTTCACCGAGCAACAATCCACCGTCACCGGAGCTAAGTCGTCGGAGATCAGTCATCGTCTGAGATAATTCTTCTGTTGCTCTCTCTCTCACTCTCCTTTATTTTTTCAGGTGGCGGAAGTAAATTAATGAAGAAAGGGGTGCAGGAATTTAGGGTTACCGCGGCATAAACGAGCTATCCTGATTTTGAGCCTATATCCGAAAGGCCCATCCTGCTAGGCCCGCTATTTAGTGGGCTCCCAAACTCCTGACCCAAACCCCCCCCCCCCACTGTAAGCTTTAACGGGCCTTGCCTGTGGTCCAATCCCTCCATTGATAATTCTTTTAGAATCAGTCCAAATATATCCAAACCATTGATCAAGTTAATACAATATGAATGTAGTATTTTACAGGTACAAATATATATTTTAGAAAACTCCAAATATGTTTGCAAGTGTACAATAGATCACTTAACAGGGTAACTATGTTGCACACTCACCCTTTTTCAGAAAGAAAAAAACTTTTTCACAGTGCAATTCAAAATGCTACACAGCTGACAATACTTTTGACAAGGTTGCCAACATATGTGGGTGAATCTTAACAACTTACTAGATTTTGATCCACGCAACCGCGCGTGTTTTGTTTTCATTTTTATATACATATATGTTTGTTTTATATTATTAGTGACGTTAGTCATATATTTAAATGTTTGTATAACTATTACAAACACAATAATTTTAATAGCTTGCATGTTAATATCAATTGTTTCAATAATTTCTTATTATATATTTTTATTGGATTTGTATTTAATTATTAATATTCTTATATGCATGAAAATAATATTTTAAAATTGTTATATATATATATAATTATACATGAAAAATTCTATTGAAAATTTTTTATATTTAATTTATACTAAATACTGATCTGAGTTTCAAAGTTAGATTATCGTTTAGAAAACTTTTTATATTTATATAGATAATATATTATGTTAATTTTATACATGTATTATATAGTCACTAATGTTAATCCGTTCTGCTAACATATTATATTTTTAACATTAATATTTTCAATTATGAAAATAAAATTGATTAATTTATCAGTTTAATATAATTTTATACTATTTACCTCAGTATAATAATTTTCATGATTATAAAATAGATAAAAAGAATAAAATTTCATTTTTAATTTTATAAGAGATAACTGCATATTATATGTATATATTAATGTATATTTATATTTTATTACTAATTTAAAATTATTGAAATATTTATATAATTTTTTAAAGTTAATCTTTTCAACATATTTGTTACAAAGAACTAATATATATTTATAAATAAAAGGATATCAAAAGATATTATGATTAAAATAATTACAAAAAATTGAAATATATTTAATAATTTGTTTTAGTAATGGTCCAAATAGAAAAATCACACATGAAATAACTTCTCTTTTAATATACTAGATTTCAAAACATAGTTAGGACTGATTGTCATTGGTTGTTAAGCTTTTAAACACTCGAGAGATTTTAAATTACATTTTTTTAAATTAATATTTGATTTAAAAATTAAAATTTATTTATTGGTTCAACTTAAAGACCCTAGAGAGAAGGCATTTGTTTCGTTGATTTGTTTTAAGACGATAATTCCCTAATTAATTCTGTTAAAATAATAAATCATGTTAACGTTTGAGTATATCTGTCAGCAGAACTATACGGATAAAAAAGTGATTAGTAGAAAGATTCAATAACCAGAATCTCTACAGAATCAAGTTCTTATTTCACCTTCAAAATCTTTTTTTTTTTTGATAAATAACCTTCAAAATCTTATAAAGATTCACACCACACCTCCCAAAAAAAAACAGCTCTCAGATATTTTTTAGCAATGGCCGAGATTGTAGAGCTCTCGACCGGAGCCATGGAAATAGAAGAAGCCGTTGATGAATTAGACCGATGCGCGGTGGAGGAGGTTGAGCTAACCGTTCCAAAAACCGACGATCCAACGTTACCGGTTCTCACTTGTAGAATGTGGGTTCTAGGTCTTGGTGCGTGTATTATACTATCGTTCGTGAACCAGTTTTTCTGGTACAGACAGATGCCGTTGACCATTACCGCAATCTCAGCTCAGATCGCGGTCGTGCCGCTCGGTCATCTCATGGCTCGAGTGCTTCCAAATAAGAAGTACTTGGAGGGATCAAAGTGGGAGTTCAACATGAATCCTGGTCCGTTTAATGTCAAGGAACATGTTATGATCACAATTTTCGCTAATTCGGGAGCAGGAACGGTTTATGCGACTCATATACTTAGTGCTATTAAGCTTTATTATAAGAGATCGCTTCCCTTTCTACCGGCTTTTCTCATTATGATCACCACTCAGGTATTGATACGTCTGTGCCCTAATTTATACATGCAATCATTCTTTGATTTGAAGAAGAATATTTACTTTTACATTTGGTTTAAATTATTGCAATTACAATATAGTTGGTTTAAAAAGCAAAAGTCATTATATGTTTTTCGTTCTTAAGTAAGAACATTCATCTTTGATTAGTCTAAATATTTTATAGTTTTCTTTTGTTTCAGATTCTTTTTAAAAATATTTTTCTTTAAAAGATATTTACATATAGCTAGTAGTTGTTTTATTGTTAACGAAAAAAAACGCTAATTGTTTTCTTCAGTTTCGTTCAAGCAGGAATTTATATTCTAATAGCCAGGTCAAATATTGTTGGATATATGGATGGATAGAGAATCAGTTAAACCATACTTAAACTAAAAACACTTGTTACTTAAACTTCTCTAGCTATTAAAACTCAGTGTTTGTTCAATTTAAGGATATAGTTGGCGTTGGTTTGAAATTCGTGCTCTGACTACTTGTACAATTTTGAGACCATGTTTTTAGATTAGAAATTTGCCACAGTTCAGTGAATTATTTTCGAACCTTTTTCACCTATGGAAACACTTTTTGTAGTTTCTCGGGTTTGGGTGGGCTGGTCTATTCCGTAAACACCTTGTTGAGCCAGGTGAAATGTGGTGGCCAAGCAATCTAGTTCAAGTGTCTTTATTCAGGTATTATAACCATCAATAGAAATCTCATCTTCATGATTAGTCTTCAACTACTTAATATAGTTCATCAACCACCGCAGTGCATTGCACGAGAAGGAAAAGAAGAAAAAAGGAGGCATGACCCGAATCCAATTCTTCATCATAGTCCTTGTTACTAGCTTCGCATACTACATTTTCCCTGGCTATCTATTCACAATGATAACTTCCATCTCATGGGTCTGTTGGCTTAGCCCAAAATCGGTTTTAGCAAACCAACTCGGTTCAGGTGAACAAGGTCTTGGTATAGGCGCAATTGGTATTGATTGGGCTACGATTGGCTCTTACCTCGGCAGCCCACTTGCTAGCCCGATCTTCGCTACCGTCAATGTAACCATTGGTTTTGTGATAATAATGTATGTCGCCACGCCGATTTGTTATTGGCTTAATCTTTACCATGCCAAAACTTATCCTATATTCTCAAGTGGGCTTTTCATGGGTAATGGCTCGTCTTATGATGTTTTGAGTATCATTGATAAGAAGTTCCATCTCGACCGAGACATCTATGCAAAGGCTGGTCCAATCCATATGAGCACTTTCTTTGCGGTAACATATGGTCTTGGGTTTGCCACTTTGTCCGCAACCATTGTCCATGTTTTACTCTTCAACGGAAGGTAGCTAAACTCGACCAGTTCCTCAGAATCAAATTTTCATTTTTGATTTTAGTTAACGAGATAGTTTCCCATAGACTAGGGACAAGTCTTTTGGTAATAGTTTCTAACTTCATATAATTCAATTTTTTTTGTATATTAGCGATCTATGGAAGCAAACAAGAGGAGCATTCAAGAGGAACAAGAAAATGGATATACACACTAGGATCATGAAGAAAAACTACAGAGAAGTTCCCATGTGGTGGTTTTTGGTGATCCTCGTACTCAACATTTCGCTCATCGTGTTCATCTCTGTGTACTACAATGCAACCGTACAGCTACCTTGGTGGGGAGTGTTGCTAGCTTGCGCCATTGCCGTCTTCTTCACTCCTCTTATTGGTGTTATTCTCGCCACCACTAATCAGGTACCTACTAAAAACTACATATAAGAGTTGAGAAACTTTAGACTTTAATGAATTATTCTTCTATGTTTTGTTCAAGTATAAACATCTATCACAAGAAAAAACTATAAAACAAACTCACGCTTTCTCTGCAAAAAAAAACTGAAAAGAAACAAACTTAAAAGAAATTCATATTCATATGCATCTATGTCTGATCCAGTATCACTTAACTATTTAGTGGTTGAATTCTTTATTTTGGTAAGTAACAAGTTTATATTAATGAGAGTCCTATTGCTTTAGGCACCGGGGCTGAACGTCATCACAGAATATGTAATCGGATACATCTATCCAGAACGTCCGGTCGCGAACATGTGCTTCAAAGTGTATGGATACATCAGCATGTCTCAGGCTTTAACATTCATCCAAGACTTCAAACTCGGCCTCTACATGAAGATCCCTCCTAGAAGCATGTACATGGCACAGGTCACTAACTAATCGACAATTAATTATTCGTTAAAAAAATAGAATTAGTAACACAAGATTATTTCAGGTGCTTGGGACGCTTGTGGCTGTGCTAGTATACACAGGAACTGCTTGGTGGTTAATGGTAGACATTCCTCATTTATGTGACAAATCTATGCTTCCTCACGACAGTCAATGGACATGCCCGATGGATCGTGTCTTCTTCGATGCATCTGTGATATGGGGACTTGTCGGACCACGTAGAATGTTTGGTGACTTGGGAGAATACTCAGCCATAAACTGGTTCTTCCTCGTAGGCGCAATCACTCCTTTCTTGGTCTGGCTAGCGACCAAAGCATTTCCAGCTCAGAAATGGATCGCACAGATACATTTTCCGGTTATTTTAGGAGCAACCTCGATGATGCCACCAGCGATGGCGGTTAATTTCACGAGTTGGTGCATCGTGGGATTTATTTTCGGATACTTTGTGTTTAAGTACAAGAGAGAGTGGTGGACAAAGTACAACTACGTTTTGTCGGGAGGTTTGGACGCGGGAACTGCGTTTATGACAATACTGATTTTCTTAGCGCTAGGACGCAATGGAATTGGACTGGCGTGGTGGGGGAACGCTGATGATAGCACAAACTGTAGCCTCGCATCTTGTCCTACTGCTAAAGGAGTAATAACGCAGGGCTGTCCTGTTTTCTGACCTTTTCAGAGTTTAAGTAAAAATTTGTAGCTTCTTGTCTATCCTTCTCTTAGTTATTTTATTCTTCTCTTAGTTTTTATGTACAGAACTCTACAAAAACTTTAATAATACAAAGTAGGCATGTGCATTCGGTATCAATTCGGGTATATTTCGGGTTCAATAGCATTTTGTTTTTTTTTGAGTTATGAAATTTAGTCATGTTTAGATAATCTTCAAACTTGATTGGGATGCGGTTTGGACCTCCATGGGTTCGATTCAAATATAGTAATATACCAAAAATCTTGTTGAACCTATTTCCAATTCGGGTGTGATTCTAATTCGTATTTTGGTTATCTAAATACTTGTATGTAGCTCGAACGTACTCACGTTAGTCCACGAACATAGCAAGTTTAAAATTTTTGCATTAGTAAAGGATTGATTCCACAATTTAGAGTTGCGATTCTATCATATATGTCTTTTGTATTTCATAAAAAATCTATTTTACATAAACTTATGATCTCTCTCTCTCTACATGCCTTACAATATGATTCTTTTGGCACTATGACTTTTATCAAAATGATGCTACTGATAGATCAAATTATTTTGTGGATTGGATTTGAGTGGTTATGACAAAAAGCTTTAAAAGAATAAAAATGTATTTAAACAAGTTAAAACAACATCGTACACTTAAAAGGAAAGTTATCTTATTATATAAAGTTTGGTTTTTCAAAGTTATTAATTACAAGATCGTGACACATGACAATTATATATTTATGATTTTGACATGTGTTAAACTATTTTATAATTAATATATATATAGATAATAACAAAAACAAATTTTGTTTAAACAACATAATTAGAAATATTATGTAATAGTAATTTTCCGCTTTTAAAATCCTAGATAAATGATATTTACCAAAAAAACATTTTGATAGTAATTTTCCATTTAATATTGTGGCATATATTGAAATTCTTATGATTATAAATACATAGACTAATATAATAAAAAAAATTCCGAAGATATTAGTTTTTAAAATTAAAGAAAAAAGGAGCTAAATTTTTTTTTAATTGTAGTTTTTCTTTTTAGAAATCCTAAACACAAAGATTCAAAATAAAATAAAAAAAATAATTTTGAAAAAAATAATTTTAAATATTGTTTAAAAGTTCAAAAAAAAATAACGAGTGTTTAATTGTAGTTTTCTTTTTTTACAAATCCAAAACAAAAAGTATTCGTAAAATATATTATTATCAATTTCCTTCTCTAAAATCCTAAAAATATTATTTGATAGTAATTTTCCTATTAGAATTTTATATATGTAAAAATATATATATTAACAAAATATGTATACAAAAAAAGGAAAATGATTTTACAGATAAAATAATGTTTTAAAATTTTTAACAGCAATTTTCTAAACCATTTTCTTTTACAAAATTTCAAACAAATAAAGATTTGATAAATAATTTATTTGATACTAATTTTATTTTTCAAAAATTTCGAATAAAATGTATTTGAGAAAACATATTTTATAGTAATTGTCCGTTTCTAAAATCTTTAACGTAAGAGAATTATTAAAGTAACAAATATTTTTCCTTTTTTCAAATCTCAAACAAAAACGTGAAATAAAATATGTGTTTATTTCTAATTATTTTTCAAAAAAAAATAATATCCTTTTTTCAAATCTGAAACAAAAACAAATTGTAGAATAATTATTTCAAATATTATTTATACTCTTTTCTTCTTAAGCTGGTGATTTTTTTAATATAAATATACTAAGATAATAATAAACATTTTGAAGACATTAATTTTAAAAGTTCTTTAAAACTAGAAGGAAGAAGTTAAAAATATTTAATTGTAGTTTTATTTTTCATGAATCCTAAACAAAAATATTAAAAATAATAAAAATGTATTTAAAAATAATAATTTTAAATATTGTGTAAAAGTAAAACAAAAAGGGTGTTTAATTGTAGTTTTGCTTTTTGAAAATCCTTAACAAAAAAAAATGTTTGTAAAGTATATTATTAATTATCAATCAACTTTTCTAAAATTTCATAGAAAATATTATTGTAAAAGATTATTTGATAGTAATATTGCTTTTAATTTTTTTATATATGATAATATAAATCATGATTAACAAAATATATACTAAGATGATAAAAGTGATTTTACAAATAAAAGTAATTTTAACAGTTAATTAATATCTATTTTTCTACACCATTTTCTTTTACAACATTTAAACAAAAAAATATTTGCAAATTAATTAATTTGATATTAATTTTCCTTTTCTAAAATAATGAAGAAATGTAACTGAAAAAAAATATTTGATACTAGTTATCCTTTTCTAAAATCTTGAACATAAGAAAATTATAAAGAGTGTCTATTAGTAGTCTTCCATTTTTTCAAGTCCTAAACAAATAATATTACTAGAATAATTATTTGAAATATTTTTTATGTTCTTTCTTAAACTGGTGATGATTTTTATTGTTGTTATATTTTTCATGCTGTCATACATTAGTTATTGCCATATTAGTTATTGCCATATTTATACTTAGGTGTTTGTTTGTATGTAGTATAGATGTTTTGATATTGTACGTAGGTTAATTTGTCTATTATGCTTTTGAGTGTTTGTTTTACAGACACTATAAAATTAGTTACGTTGTTTATTTTTGAATTTCAAATTACTTATGTTGTTGTAGGTAAGTTAACGTCAATGTCATTTGTTACCTTTATATACCATTTTGCTTATTGTTTGATTGTTAAGTTATTTAATTATAAACTCTAACTTTAAAAATAGTAGTGATACGAATTATAAAATAATAGTTAATAAAATATTTAATAGTATTGAAATAATTAGCTGATAGTAATCTAGTTTCGGTAATTCTAAATAGAAGATAATTGTAAATGGTTGTATGATAGTAATCTTTATTTTTTAAAATCTTAAATAAAAATGTAAAATAGTTTTTGATAGTATTTTTGTTTTTTCTAAGTTATAAATAAAAGAGTTTATAAAATATAATGTTTTCTTTTTCAAAATCATAAGAAAAAAAATTAAATTATTTAATAGTAATTTAAAACATAAAGATTTTGATGATAAACAATATACTAAAACAATTTAATTAACTAAAAAATCAAAAATAGAATTTTTTCGTGATTGATCTTTATATTGGTATTTGTATTTGTTTGGTCATGCAAAAACAAACACATGTTTGGTATATTTTTGTGTTTGGTCATAAAAATAGATTATTATTATTATCAACGTAAATAATTTTTATGTGTTAAGTCAAAAAGAAATCATGTTTCATCGTCATCTTATTACATCTGTATATTAATATATAGTATTTCTAATCTATTTTATTAAACTGTTGTTATGAAATATATCATTAAAATTAATTTAGAAAATTATTTAATAATAGACAAATTTAATAAAATGTCCTAATTGTTAGTAGAAAATGAGAAACAAGTAATTTGAAAATAATTATAAATTAAGTAGGAAAAATTACAAATTCAAAAACTGGAAAAAACTATAAATTTTTTTTGAAATACTATAACTTGAATAACATTTTTAATACTACATAAATAACCCATAATATCCCAATTTAGGGTTTAGTGGGTAGAGTTTAATATTTAAGGAATGAAACTAAATTTATAAAATTATATAAAATTCCAAATGATATAATATGATATTAAATATCATATACTTAAAATGAAATTAGAAAAATTTCTTAATTACCTCTAAGATCGTATTCTTCCGCTTTATTACAATATATAATAAATAATTTATTTATGTATTTTATGATTTATCATCACAAATTAAGAAGTGAAAATTATATGATATTGTCATTGACCTTATTTAACTTTCATATTTTTTATTTCACTCTAATCCTTAATTCGAACTGGATTTGGTTTAAATTGTTAGGTATGAGTATTTTCTCTGGGCTTATGTACAAAGTTAAAAAAAATTCACTTATGTGCCATGATTATTAAAATACAAATATTTACCAATATTTATGTTGGTAAACAAATTCTAAATTCTGAAATAAATCTCACATAACATATACAAAAATAGTCCTAAAATATAAAATAATTTATTATTTTATGTCTTTTGTAAAATTAAAACATCAAATAAAATATGTCTTATCTATACTATTATTTAAGAAGTAAATTTGCTTAGTTGTCATGTTCTCCATAAACTTAGGAAATTTTGTTTATTTATCATATTTTTAATATTTAAATATAATTTATTTAAAAAATAAAACGAATTTATATGAATATGTCATATTTTAAGAAAATAAGATAATTATTGTAAATTAGGTTGTTATCTTGAAATATATTTTTATATATAAAACTTAAATTTAAAATTTATCACATTTTTAATATTTATATATAATTTATTTTTAAAAAACGAATTTATATGTATATATCATACTTTTAAAAGTAAGATAATTCTTATGAATTATGTTGTTATCTTGAAATATATTTTATATACAAAAATTAAATTTTAAATTAAATATAAAAATATTTATTTGTTATATAAATAAAACAAATTTATATTAATAATTTTATATTTTTCTAAAATAAGATACTTCTTATGTATTATGTTGTTATTTTGAAAACATATTTTCCTATTATAAAACTTGATATTAAGATATAAAAATTATACTATTAATAATTAAATATAAATCATCAAAACAATTATTTGAAAAGTGAATTTGTTGATTTATCTTCATGTTCCTATATAATTTTGATCATTTATCAGAATTACTCTAATTTTTTATTATTGATTATATAATTAAAACTAATTTATATTAACAATATTATATTTTAGAAAATAAGTTAATTCTTATGTATTATGTTGTTATCTCGAAAATATATTTTTCTATTATAAAATTTAAAATTAACATGTAAAAATTTGTAGTTATTCTATAATTGAAATAAAGTTGCACTAATTATAATATACTTTTAAAAAATAAAGTAATTCTTTTGTATTATGTTGTTATCCTGAAAATATATTTTTATATCTTGGTTAGCTTAAAAATATATTTTCTATTATAAAATTCAAGTGAATTTACTGATTGATTTATAACTTCTCCATGATTTTTGTAATTTTGCTTATTTGTTATATTTTTAATAATTTTATGAATAATTTAACATATATTAAAACGAATTTCTATTAATGATATTATACTTTTAGAAAATAGATAATTCTTAAGTATTATATTGTTATCTTTAAAATATATTTTTTATCATAGAAACTAAAAATTAAGTTAAATATTAATAGATAAATATAAAAAAGCAATGCTGATTTATCAACTTCTCCATGGTTTTATATTTTACTTATTTATCATATTTTAATAATTTCATATATTTTATCAAATAATAAAACGAATGTATACTAATAATACTAGATTTTAAAAAATAAGATAATTCTTATGTATTAGATTATTATCTTGAACATATATTTTCTATAAGAAAATTTAAGTGAATTATCTTATTTCTAATTTCTCCATGATTTAGATAATTTTGATTATTTTCATATTTTTAATAATTTCATATAAAATTTATTATAAAATAAAAATGAATTTATTTTAAAAACTATATTTTCAGAAAATAAGATACTTCTTATGTATTATATTGTTATCTTGAAAATATATTTTTATTATAGAAATAAAAAACTAAGATAGAAAAACTTATAATTAAAATAAATTAAAGCAACACATTTGTAAAAATATATTTTTAAAAATATTTTGTTATGTGAGTGTTGTCATTTGTAATTAATTTTAAAACATAAATCATAACTTATTATATTGGTTGAATTAATAAAATACAGACTAATAATAAATTGTATGAAAATTATGCCCGCATGTGCGGGCAAAACACCTAGTTAAAATGTAAATACTAATCAAACTTTTATGAAAAAAAGAATTCTTAATTTCTAAAATAAATCTCACACAACATATACAAAAAATCATAAATTATCAAATGAATTATTATTTTTATATTTTATAAATATTAAAATATAACAAATAAAATCCATGCAACGCACGGTCCCATATCTAATTCATCGTAAAACTTAAAATTCAATTGTCAACTTATAAAAATAGCAGACGAAAAGAACAAGTTTTCAAACTCAATCAAAAACCAAAACCTCCAAATTTCAATGCAATCGTGAAACTATAGCCTTCAACTCTTGTATTCTCAAATTGATAAAGACAAACACAGATATAAGAAGTTATATAAAGTACAAAAGTTATATAATGGAAGAACAACTAAGCTAAATAAAACAGATATAGCATTTTAGATTCAGCTCGAATCTGTTCATTCGTGAGAACACTTTTACAAAACTTGATGTCACCTTTCATATGTTGCTTAGTACACATCAGAACCCTCTATCGTATAGTGAGTTAGACAACTCTTATATGGTTCTAAGATTCTACTGATAGTGCTAAAACTCTTGCATTACAAGTAAATCCCTAGCCATATCTACCAAAACCGAAAACTTGATTTTGTGCTCCTTCTACCAAGAGAGTATTGAACTCAAGTCCCATCATAAGTTTTATCTTATCCCCATGTTTCTTCAATCTAATTTAGATACTAATCTTAGGTACTTAGTCAAAATTTTGAATATTTTGGGTACTTATTCGGAATGGAATTCCGGTTAGATATGTTTTTCTTTTATGTTTTTGAATTTTATGTTTTTTTGTATCCTTTCAAATTTTAAATTCTAATTGGGTAACACCCCTTATCTAAAATACTGTAAAATAAGATCTATTTGAATATTTGTTGTTATATTTGATTCTCTTCAGATTCATTTTTTTGGTTATGATTGATCTGAGTTTTCGGATTCATTTTTTTGTCTTTTACCTACAGAGATCAGCTAAAACCTTTTAGATGAACCCGTAGTCCTATTTAAGACAAAGCTTCAACTTTCTTAGATGAAACATTAAAGATCATCGACTAAGCTAATATAAATATTCTTCTACATTCGTTTTACAACATATTAACACTGTATTTATTTTGATTCTTCCTTTGAAAGTTGAATACATAGATGATAGTAATTTAAACTCCTCAACTACAATGGTACAGAACTCAGTTTCAATAAACGGTTTGTACTTCAGCTTAAATTTATGGAAGGAAACACATAAAAGAAGAACAAAGTCGGTGTTCCAAAAAGAACGAAAAGGAAGTGAAAAAGGTCGTATGACTCCAAACAAAGCAAACAACATTATGGTCGTTGAACAAACTACATGATTTAACTTCATCACTCCAAGTCCCCAAACCAATTGCATACAGAAAAAGGCTTTACAAAGTTCTGAAAATTATCATTTCACTCTTCCATTTGTGTAAACATCAAGATGTCTCCTCCTTGAGCCTGTACAGCGTAATTTCTTGCTGTTTGAAGTAACGGCGATCCTCTTCATCGACCAGCACAAGATTCAGATAGTACTTAACGCTGAATTTGTTGTTTATGTTCGTAAGCGTTGGTGTCAGATCGTATGGTGTCAAGAACAGTCTTACAGGTATTGATTCTCCTGCGCAATGTCTCAATGCTTACTCAATAGCTAAAAGGGAACATATGATGGAGTATATTTTGGGATTACCTCTAACTGGAGCACCATCCATTAACTCAAATTTGGCTAGTGTTTCTGTCTCGACATGAGTATTAGCTCCTGCTCCAGTTGATTCTCGCCGTCTGATCTCAAGGTCCATGTTCTTTATCTTGATTCTTACCAGAAGAAAGTATATTTTCCCAAGGATGACGTCTTTCAGGTGGTACCTGCATCCAGAGCTAAGGGAGTTAGCTAGTGTTTTAATTTCCCTTATCATTATAACTCGAGTGATGAAAAGGAGTTTGTCTTACTTGCTTTTATTGTACTCAAACTCAATATGCAGGCAGTCCTCGATTCCAACTTCCATCTGTACAACGGGTAAAGGGTCCAACGGAATTAAGCACATCTAATGCTAAAAAAGAATGTGGGAAGAAGACAACTAAGAGCAGCATTCATGTAATTCCAGAGGTAAAAAAAACAGGTTTTATGAGAACATGGATTCAGTATCAAACGCAAGAGCGATAAGGAACCAAGAAACTGAGTGGAAATGGGAGGCTGTGGACTCACCTTGATGCTGTTATTGATTGGAGGTAGTGGAGAATAATTACGGACCTGTATCAAATTGATTAGAAGAAAGAAGAAGCTGTAAGTTAACCTTAAATACTAATGTGTCACAAAGACGCAGAAGAAAAATGAAGAAACATACTACAAAGTCCTGATACTCCACGATGCTTCCACCATAGCCGCGTGTAACTGTTACTTTGAGGACATACCTGAAGATAACAGCGACTAAAGTTATGTACTAGAATATGCAACATTACATATTTTAAATGTTAGAGAAATAATATGATATTATTACCTTAGTCGTACATTGACGCCATTGTATGTCTCATGTGGCATCTCAACAGTCGAAAATTCGAAAGGGTATGCCTTTTTCTCATATATCTCTCCAGGTACATCAAGCTCACGCACTGGTAATCAGAAATAGTAGGATAGATCAGCAACTAATAACTAAGAGACTAGAGAGAAAAAGAAGAGAACCATTTCATAACAGAAGCTTAAGATTTTCGACTAACCCAAAGAAGTGAAGTCGTAGAAGTTTCCTCTGTCAAAGTACATTTCTGTCCAAACACACACAGTTATCATTAGTGCATATAAAGGAGACGATCAGGAAACAAGATAGAAAAAAAGTGGCAGAAATAGCAGACCGATTTGACCAAGAAGTTCAACTTTAACACCATTGTGCTCCACCTTTTTCCCTTGATATGGCTCAATAATAACCTAAAGCGAAAAGTGTTAAAGGAAACTAACTCCAAATATCTGCTGATGGAAACAAAAACAAGTATACCTTGCCAGCAATAGTTTCTTGACTCTGGAAAAGAGGGTTCATAACCGTCTGTCCATTATCTTTCTTAATAGGAACCTAGCACAACAGAGATCAGGTAAGATCATAACCTAAGTCCGGGAACAGGGATCAATGGATGTGTGTGTGTACCTGTTTACGATTCTTCCCATCAGTAAAGGTGATAGAAACATTACAGGCGGGCTTGAACGCTCCAAGAAGATAGTTCTGAACAATCCCCAAAACAAGTGTTAAACTTCATTACAATATTACACAAAGCAGCGCAAATAAAAGGGGGCCAACTAACCATGATCAAACGATTCGAATTCCAACACAGTTAACCTGTTCAACAACATAAGAGAGTCACAATCAGACAGCATTTCTAGTTTTTTCAAATTAGAATCAAGCGACGAAAGAAATAAAACCCTAATCTCAATTCATACGAACGAGACCAAAATCAAATGTAATGGTACAAGGATCGAGATCCACAAAGTTAGATCTACTGAATAGTTATGTTACCTTCCGAGGTGAAATTCGATGAGAGACAAAAATAGACAAGAGGAACCGATCGGATCAAATCGACGAAGATTCCTTCTTACAGTTGGGTTCAAGACGATCGACAAGACTCCCCTCACCGATTTGATCAAATGTTTGACTATAAAAGCCCTGTTATCGGATTGTTACCCATCAAAGCCCAACTGTTTTCATTAACATTTAATTTATAGAGTTTTGTTATTATATAAATAAACTTTATCTCTCTGTATAATTTATAAATATTATTATCACTGAAATTAAAAATAATTGTAATCATTCCATTAATGTCTTTTTTTTTGTCAAAATATATTTTATATAATTAAGAATATTGTACATTGTAGCTGAATATTTAAACAAAACAAAACATAGAATACTTTATTATTAGATTAGATAGGAATACTAGTATTCGTTCTGATTTCTATAAAAATATATAATCTTAGTTAACTTAATATATTAGATTTTTTAGTTTTTAAAATATAACTATTTATATCTAGGGCTTTTATTACAATTAAAAATTAAATTTACAAAAAATAAAAATTATTATTTATAAATTAATGGGTTTTTAAGTAATAAAATTCCTCAACTAAATATGAATTATAAAAAATACCTCAACTAAATATTTAATGAAATAAACCTTCAATTTTAGTTTTGTTAATGTCTGTTACCCTCCATCACGAAATTTTAAACGGAGGGTGACAGACGTTAACAACTAAAGTTAAAGGTTTATTTCATTAAATCGTTAGTTGAGGATTTTTGTTATAATTCATCTTTAGGTGAGAGAATTTATTACTAAATATGATTAAATATTTTAAAATATTTGTTATCATTTATTTACTATTTAAGAATCTTACAATTGATTTATAAACATTTAAAATCATTTATAATTTTGTTATATTTTTAACCTATTTATAAAGTTTTCTCATTTAATACTTTTTATAAATTATTTTTAAGGTTTAATGATGATTTTATAAGTTTAAAGATGTGATTATTCGTCATACTACAAAAAGATGAAGTAAATAAATAAAACAAAAAAACTTATTGATTAATATGGTAGGAGCATAACATATTAGTTCAGAAATCAAAAAGAAGAAAAATAATCCTACAATTCTGTCTGTTCTTAAATAATAAGATGGGAAATACAGAGAGAAAGGTGAGAAAAACAGAGAACTTCGAAAGAAAATGATGGAAAATGATGGGTATATAAACATGGAGAAGGAAGATGTTTCATTAAATGTTAACATTTTTGTTGGTGGTTATGGACCATATATGTATAAATAAAGTTGTTCTTTCTATATTATAATGAGTTAATTACATATTTAGACACAATTTATCTTTCTCTTACATCTAGGGACATCCAACTTGTGGCATACAATTTTGTGGGTCCTATGCGATAATTTGTCCCAAAAAAAACCTTAAAAAAACGGTTAATGTTGTTTTTGTTCAGTTAGCTTTTAGACATTTATTAGATTAGGTTTTTCAATAGTTGGAATTTTATAAGAACCACAAGATTGTAAAAAATATTTATCCGATGGCTCATGCTAAAATCAATAGTTTAGCAAGTGACATACATCCATATTTCATGGATGTGGATGCTTTCTTATCTATGTAAGAATGTTATTGTTTATCAGATTTTTGGACGGAGAAAATGGATAAAGATTATTTGAATAGACTAACATTATGTGGACAAAAGAAGATTATGGATACAAAATAGTGGACATTTAAGTTGTGGATAAACAAATATTACTAGAATGAGTTACAGACGAGAACACAACATGTAAAGGAACAAATAGATATTTAATTTAACTTTGTGGACAAGATAGTATCCACATCTCATCTATGAACAATACAACGAGGGAGCAAACAGCCTCGTTGCCACAGCTGTGGACAAATCAAATCAGATATAAAAACTTTGGAGCTCATACATTCTCTGAAACGCCAGCCACGACAGATTGAACTCACCCACAATTCACCCACAGCCGATCCCAAACTCATCCATATCGGATCCTGAACTCAACCACGGCGAATCCCAAGCTCAACCACTCTTTGAAACTTCATCGCAGCTACGCCGTGTTCACCCACGACAGATCCCGAGCTCACCCACACCTAATCCCAATCTCACCCACTCTCTGAAACACCACCGCATCTATCCCCGAGCTCATCCAAGATGGATCCCCGAGCTCACCGACGTCAAATCCCAAACTCATCTACTCTTCGAAGTAAAGCGAATATATGATTAAGAGAGAAGAGGAAAATCAAACAAGCAACACAAGGTGAACTGATATAATCCCGAACTCATCTAATCCCGAACTCATCTATGTCAAATAAGTTTTATCAATTTGGGAATTTGGTAATTAGAGTTCCGAAAAAGATTGTCGGTATCTTTCACTCATCTAAGGCACGCCGCAAACGATAAATTAGGAAATTTTTCAAGAGATATGTGTTTGGGTGGCTGAGAGAAAAGATGAAATAAGGGATTAGTGTTTGAAAGTTGATTTTGGAAAGGTAAAGTGAACTGATATTAAATAGATGGGTCCTTTAATTTCGAGAGAGATGGGTTGATTCTTTCTTTAGTTGGAGGGCACTAAGATCTTTGTCACACCATAAAGTATACCACATGTATGACGTGTCTCTCTCTGCAATTATAAAGATAGAATGTGCTTCTATAAGTAAAAAATTCTATTATATTGGAGCATTTTGTTCACTTTTCAGTACGCCATTTCAGCGTTTTGTAGGTCACCTTTGTTTTTTTCTCAACTTGCATGCGTTTTTTTTAAGCCTAGCGTGTCGTTTTGTGTCCGGACTTATGTTTTGTGTGTCGTTCCTTTTGCTGCTTGATGTTTTGTGTTTCGTATGGGTTTTAGGTTTTCATTTCGGTCCATGAAGAAAATACCTTTCTTCTCCGTGGAGCTTCAAAAGTTTGGATTGAAAAATCTTAATTCGATTGATTCCCTTTCTGATTCCATGACGACGTTACACTAAGCAATTATAGCATTCAATAAATAAACCTCACTCATCCCACTATCACCTCTTTATTGTAACTTCAATATGTTGTTCTTACGCTTTTTCCAGTTTAATAATGTAAACCTTCCTAATTGCTTCTCCAATTCCTCTATTTCCTTCCGGTTCATCTTCACTTTTACTCTTAGACAATCTTCTCTAATGAAAACTTCACAGGAATGTCAAAAAGTGAGATTAATTAACGGGCGTATATATGCTGCTGCTTGATTCCAAGGTATTTTCATTTGCCCTTAATTTATTTCTTTTGTTGGTCTGATTATATTGGTGTTTTGAGCAAGATCTTCTATTCAAGCGTTTTCTTCTCAGGTTATCCCCCAAATCTAGGATGAGTTTTAGGTGATCAGTTTGTTTGTGAAAGGTATGTGACATTATGGGCATATTAAAATTGACTCTCTTTAATTTACATGTTTACCTAAACAGTTTTGCAAAGAGATTTCTTAGAACCCGATGCATTCAGCTGCAGTTGCAACCAAAGCATAAGTGAACTTGTAATATATATGGATGGTTTTCAGAGCTATTTATGAAATTGAAGTTTTAAGGGCGCTTATTGAATCAATGTGGTTTTGTTATTTTTGTCGAAGTACACGAGAAACTGAAGCAATGGTATGATTCTTTTGGCAGCACCTTTGAAAGCCACGTTTGATGAAGGTTTAATGTGTTGAGATTGAAGATAGGCCGGCTTACGAGGTACTTGTTCGATCGGTAAATAATTACCATGTTCTTCTTTTTTTTTTCTTACTGGAGATTGTAGAGAAATTTTTGAATGCCAGCAAAAAGGTAGCACTCCTCTTGTGACTGAAGTAAATTATGCAAAGCCTAAGAAAGTAGATGTGTTTATTTATGAAATTGGCAGCCGCGCTGGCTCAGGTAGACACATTTATAGCTAGCAAAAGCAAGAACAAGACATTGAAAAAGTTTTCATATATTTGTGTTTTTAACAGATCCACTTAGATAATGAGGCAAGCATGAAGATATATGGCTGATTATTAAAGCTCGCTCAGAGACACCTAACCTTCATAGAGACGTCAGAGAACACTGATCTTATTGTGGAAATTTCTTTGCAGCCTTGGCTAGTGTTCAGACCAGACAGTACCATCTTCTTCTCTGGCATCCTCACTCCTTTACCTGCCCTCAGTGTCACGTTTGAAATCATAGAAGCTAAAGGCCCTGTGATCCAATCTCCTATCCAAACTGAAGAAGATTTGAAGAGACTGCATCCTATTGATCTTGAGAAACATCAGTTTGTTGGAGACTGTCTCAAGACTCTGAGACAAGAGGACATGAACCATGCTGCGGTATTGGGTTTCATTGAAGCGCCTTAGGAAATCACGACTTATATCTTTGAGGAGGAACAACTAAGACATATACATTGATAAAGATTATGCGCCACACTGCACCAAATGTACTGAGAGCTCCACTGCACTAAATGTATTGAGAGCTCTATTATCTCATTTAACCAAAGTCATTACGGAGTGTGCCAATTTAGTCCAAACCCTACATCGAAGAGGTGTAATTTTAAGTGCTTTCTATCTTCAGAACTGGGATAGGTTCTCTTTTGGTGTTTTAACGTTTTCTTTTTCTCATTTGGGCTTGCCAGATCATTCATGCTGTAAATAAAAGAAGTCCAGACACGCCTATAGTGTAGATATATGGCTGATGTAAGGATGCGATTGGGGAGCAATGTTATAGTCCCAGGAAATGTTGATCCGGCTTACTTATTCTCTCTGTTTCCTTCTTTAACTGAAGAGATTTAAAAGTGGGTAGTTAACTTTGTTGAACTAAAGGTAGTAATTGAAGAAACTTAAAGAAAACTGTATGTTTCCGTGTCAAAGTGGTTGGACCAGAAGGTCATATTCTCAACCAAGGACATAGTGTTTTGGTAGGGGCTCTAGAGGAAGCCGTGGCTCATTTCTTCGAAAATGCAAAGAGCTTGAAAAAGCTGGACAAATGCACTACTATCCTTCTAGATTTTAGTTTGATGTATATATTTTATTATATGTATATACATATTTTTATGTAAAAAGTGTTGAAGTTCATATGATCATGTATCTATTTAAATTGTTTGTTTCATAGTTTTGTGTATATGTCTTTGG